GAGATGTAAAAGTTTATAGAGAATTAATTCGAAAAATCAGATATGGTTTCTAACATACAAACAGGAAAGTGCAACCTGGCATAAGTAGGAACTTAATAAATGTTTAATCATTCTTGAAAACAGATGGCTCTAGAAGCAGGGCCTATCACTGGGTGTGGATGATGGGCCCAGATACACTCCAGTGAGCTCAAGCCTTGCATTTCAGAAAGGCTTTAAATGTATTCTTTATTCTTTTACTGTTACATCTAAATGAAATCCGCTAGGGGCGCCTGCCTGGCTCAGTTGGTAGAGTATGTGACTCTTGATTTGGGGGCTGTAAGTCTGAGCCCCACACTGGGTGTAGAGATTACTTAAAAATAAAATCTTAAAAAAAAGGTTATTAAATACATACATACATAAAATCAGCTCTATACCCCCCACATAGGACAGTACCACCAGGGAATTAACCTTTAAAATAAATATTGTGGGGGCGCCTGGGTGGTTTAGTCAGTTAAGTGTCCGACTTTTGATTTCAACTCAGGTCTTGATCTTGGGGTTGTGGGTTCAAGCCCCACATTGGGCTCCATGCTGGGCATGGAGCCTACTTAAATAAATAAATACATACATAAATATTTGAGTGAATAGTTTGAAGGAAAAAAAATGGTTCCAAAAAGTTTCCACAGTCAGGGATTCAAATTTTACTAGTTTTGGAATGAAATACCCACAATGTGTCATGGCCTAAGTAAAATCCAGGAAAAAAGGGTTTGTTCCCTTGACTCTTACAACTTAGTTGTTGTTTTTTTTTTAAGATTTTATTTATTTATTTGAGAGACAGAGAATGAGAGAGAGAGAGAGAGAGAGAGAGAGAGAGAGAGCGCGCACATGAGAGGAGGGAGGGTCAGAGGGAGAAGCAGACTCCCTGTTGAGCAGGGAGCCTGATGCGGGACTCAAACCCGGGACTCCAGGATCATGACCTGAGCCGAAGGCAGTCGCTTAACCAACTGAGCCACCCAGGCATCCCTAGTTTTTGAAGATGAACCACCGTTTGGCACTGTGTTGCTACCAATAACCTACTGTTATTTCCTTAGAAGCCATCCTCTATCACAGAGAACCACAAAAGACTTTCATTAAACATCCAGGAAACAGTATTCTCATGTTAGTGGACTGTTTGAGCAGAGGGGTAGGGCTATAGTGCAAAAAACTAAAATTAGAGACCACTACTTCACAAAAATAAGAAAACTAGAGTTCCAAAAATGCAGAAGTATCTACTTCTTAATGTTTAAGAAAATAAAGATTCAGGTTGACACCACAAATCTAATGCATGAGCTACACAGATCTAATAGGCAGATCAAGGTTCTTTTTCAAAATGTTAATTGTATTTCAATTGTTGAATTAGTAAATTATATTTAATATACTTTCAAAAAGGTTTTTGCAATAAAATATCTTGACATCTTAATTTTATACCACATAAATTCCTATCTTTCCCATATCTGAAAAAAGTAAAGGTAATGGGTATGAATATTGAAATTAATGCTTTCAAAACTGCAATTTACATAGGTGAAAATTATGGAAAAAGAAAAATCTTTCCTAAATACCAGCTTCACAAACCCAAACAATGTTCATTCCTTTACCTTCTGCCACATTCTCCATCCACAATAAGTGGTACCTACTAGCACAAAAAGAGGTGAGATGAGACTACCAGAATCAAGAAAAGAAATACCTACATGCCTACAAATTCATTCAAATCTCTGGTTTGAATACTGAACTGGAAGTCAAATACCTAATCTCTTCCCATCCAGTGCCTTAGCCAATGCATTATGAATCATGCATGCAATTTAAAAAGTGTTCATCAAAACTGTTAGTATTTCATAGACAAAAAAGGCAGCCTCCTAACAATTCACGGACCACCTACCACCCACTTCTACAAGTAAAAGTAATCAAAAATAATAGAATACGGGGAATTATCAATTCATGCAGAGAAAAGGCCATTATTGCATTAGACCTATTACTTTAACATAACTCTTAGAGTAGAGAATAAGCCGTATCTTACTCTACTTTTGATCCAGCACCATGTTAAGACATAGTGAAAATTCAAAGGAACCAGGTCCCCTACAAGATACTGAAGGGCCACCAAAAGTCTCTAAATCACACTCTAAGTAAAATTAACATGATCACCAAGCATTCTTATTAACGATGAAGATTAAGTTAAATGGAGCTTAGAGAGAAAAGTTAAATAATGATTACACAAATCTTTGCAGACAGTTGTGAAGACAGAATTAACAAGAACTATAGGGAATCTTAACCAGCAAAAAGATAAAGTAGAAAAAAACTCAAAGAAATAGGTATGTATCTAGTGCCTAAAATGGCTCTAAGGAAATGTATGACCATGCAACAAAGAATTCTGACCTGAAAACCATTTACTTTTTTTTTTTTTTTAAAGATTTATTTATTTATGGGCGCCTGGGTGGCTCAGTTGGTTAAGCGACTGCCTTCGGCTCAGGTCATGATCCTGGAGTCCCGGGAGTCCCACATTGGGCTCCCTGCTCAGCGGGGGGGTCTGCTTCTCCCTCTGACCCTCTTCCCTCTCGTGCTCTCATTCTCTCAAATAAATAAATAAAATCTTTAAAAAAAAAAAGACTTATTTATTTCAGAGCTTGCAAGCGTGCAGCTAGCAAGTGGGGGGGGGGGGCAAAGGGAGAAGCGAGAATCTCAAGCAGACTCCCCACTGAGGGCAGAGCCTGCTGGAGGCTTGATCCCAGGACCCTGAGATCATGACCTCAGCAAGAGTCCAAGGCTCAACCAACTGCACCACCCAGGAGCACCAAAAACATTTACTTTCTTTTCACTCGGCACAGTACATTTCCACCCTGTGACCCTCCATTCATAGTCCACATTTCCCAAAACGCAACAAGCTATAAAAGTCTACAATGTGTCTATAATCGCTTCCTTTTGCTCAAAGGAGCAAAAGAAGAAATGAAGGAAAAAAATAAATTTATTTTAATTACCAGGTGTTGAATGTTGTACCAATAATGTGGAAGAGATGTGAGAATTTTTCAACATCAAAAAGGAAATCTAAAAATTGCAGAAGCAGGCTGTCAAAGGATAATAAAATCAAATGTTTCATAAGCAAGGATTCTACGCAAATAAATACCATTTTCTGCTTCAGATTTCAGCTGATATGAATCAGCTAATGAAATGTGATCAAGAAACTGTCATTCTGGTCATTGTTGTTGAAAAAACAAAATAAAGCAGCCCCACCCACACTGCTGGAAAAAAGGTCCCGACATATGCACTAAACTTGTTTACCCTGGCCACCTCTTAATAAGAGAAATGCTTTGCAACTTGACTAGGGTTATGTAACTATTTTGCAATGTGTTATCAGTTTAAAATCCTGTTTATTTACTCCCTAGTTTTAACACATAGGTTATTTTATTACACGGTCAGGTTTGCCATAATAATAGCATCTTTCCAATTTTATTCCATCATCAGCACTTCCTGAAATAGAACTTAAGCCATTAATTTTATCTACTTTTCCTCTAAAAAATTTTAAAAGATTTTACAATATATTGGCATGTGACAAATTAACTTCTTTAAATAGCTCTGTTCCCAGAAACAGGGTAGTAAAGACAGTAAATTTCACAGTGATTCAACTGTTACAGCAAAACTTGGGTACCACAAAATAATACTCATTTCAGAGACATGGAAAAAATCCAATTTCAGTTTCAACATGGGAACCCCAGTGAATCCCTTTCACTGCTGTATTTTCAAGTAATTGAGCCCCAACTTCTGGCTTCTTTTTTAAAAGACTATCAAAGACAGGGATTTCTGGAAAAGGATTTTATTTCACAAGAGAATGGCCAAGGTCTGCAAGGTAATCTAGGATCCCTAAAATGAAATACTTCCCAGGGAGAAAAAACTAATATAGTGGAAAGAGGGCTGGGACTAGGAGTTTGGAGACCTGATCTGTCTAGACCTGACTCAATACACCCCACTCCATTGCTTAGACATGACTGGCTAGATTTTTTAATATTCAAGCTCCCCCTTTTGAAGAGATGTTCACTTAAAAATGACATGAAACTGAATTTTTCTTTCAAAAGAACCCTCAAACCTTTTTTTTTAATTTTTTAAAGATTTTATTTATTTGACAGAGAGCACAAGCAGGGAGAGTGGCAGGCAGAGGGAGAGGGAGAAGCAGGCTCCCCGCTGAGCAGGGAGCCCGACCAGGGCTGGAGCCCGACCAGGGCTGGATCCCAGGACCCTGGGATCATGACCTGACCCGAAGACAGACGCTTAACCGCTTAACCGACTGAGTCACCCAGGCGCCCCCTGAACTTTTCTTAAAGAATGGGAACTGCCTCGATCTACACCCAACAAGATTTAAACCTCGGTTTCTGGATGCTTAGCTGTTGGCAAGATCTGCCCTGAACACCAACCATTACACAAACTTCTGTCCTCAGCAGCTGAAGACACTAGAGGCACTTAATATATAAACGCGTTTCAAAGGATAGTGGGGGGGGGGCGGTGGGGTAGAACAGTCTAGAGAAACTGAGTATATATTCAAAGATTTTTAAAATTTAATTGTTTAAACGTTTGGAAGTTCAACACTTCAGCTAAACAGCAACGTGGTCCAGTCTTTATAAATCCAATTTAAAGTAAAACAAGCCATTCTGCCCAGTTATTCTGCATCAAGCAGCTCCAGTGGGCAGAGTTGAAAGAGGACCACATCACACACCAGAAAGCCGCCAGGAGAGTGGAGGCAGGCCAAGCCCAGAGCGGGGAGCCGCTCCAACAGAACTCGCCCCAAGAACTCCCACCCGTCTGCTCCCTCCCTCCACCTCGGGTCTCCCCAGTTCCCTAGGGTCGGCCCCTCCCCCCCACTACCTTCCCCCACAAACCTCTGGCCACCGCCGCTCGTCCTAGCGCCCTCAGCCCCAACTACTGCCCCTGAGCCTGGGTCTCCTCAGCTGCCAACCCCTCAGCCCCTCCTCCGTTAGAGGAGCCCCAGTCCTCCGTCTACTCACCGGGGTTAGCAGCAGTCGCCGCCATGGCCGTAGATGCCACTGCTGTCGCGCCACCCCCCGGTGGGAGGAGCCGCCGCCACCGAACCGAGGGAGGGGGAGGGGAGAGCCACTCCCCAGACGCTGCACCCTACAGCCGCCACCGCTACGGCGGAATCAAAGATGGCCGCTGCGGCAACCCCCCACCGGCCCCAGCCCCTACGGAGAACAGACCCCGCCCATAGAGTGGGTGGAGTCATCCCCCACGGCCCGCCCGCTCTGGGAAACTGACCAATGAAAACACCAAGAGGTAGGGCTGGCCACTGTGCCCGCCGGTCCATTGGAGGAGGGAGGGCAAAAAAGAAGTCCAGCTGTCTCTCTGATCCCGCCTCCTGTGCGTCAGAGGTCAGTGATCGAGTGACGTAAGTGAAAAAAATTTTATTGAAAAGCTTGGCTAGGTGGTGGATTCGCCCGGCTGACAACTGTGCAGACGAGTTGTTTAGTAAATCCTCTTTAGGTGCTCTAATGCTTCAACTTTACACAGTGATTTGTAAATCACTTTTTAGAATTTGTTCCTCCTTTCAGGACGTTTGTCCGTGGTGGAAAAAACTCAATTTTTGAGTGCCTGGTATGGAACTGGTCGTGTAAAACCATCTGGGCGCTTAAGGTCTAGTGAGGGAGATGCACACAGCCCAAACAGAAGGCAATGTATGAAGAAGGTTTTTTTTTTTTTAGATTTTATTTGTTTATTTGAGAGAATGAGAGAGAGAGCACGAGAGGGGGTTGGGTCAGAGGGAGACGCAGACTCCCCGCTGAGCGGGGAGCCCCATGCGGGACTCGATCCAGGGACTCCAGGATCATGACTTGAGCCAAAGGCAGTCGCTTAACCAACTGAGCCACCCAGGCGCCCTGAAGAAGGTATTTTGATCAAGAGCGGGATGACTTCCTTTGGTCAATGATAGGGACACAATGATGGGTTTTTAGTAGGGAAGTGATAAGATGAGGACTGAACAGATTTTTTAATAATAGGAAGCACTGAGCATTCGGGCCGGACGCTATCCAAACTGCTTTGTGCGTTTACTCATTTAATCCTCACAACACTGTAATGTAGATTCTACTATTTCCATTTTGCACATAAGGAAACAAGCAAAGAGATTAAGCAAGTGATAACCAACTAGTAAGTAATTGTGTGTGATGCAAACTGAAGAAGTATGACTCTAGGAACATGTTTTAGCACTACAAGATACTACCACCTTACATATATTTCATAAATTGTTTAATATAAATTTAATTCGAATTTTAACAAATTCCATTACGCTACTGAGCATATTCACATTCTTATAGGTTACATATGTACTACAAAGATTACATCCATTTCTCTCATTAGTTAACAGTACATTTTATTGGGGCGCCTTGGTGGCTCAGTTGGTTAAGCAACTGCCTTCGGTTCAGGTCATGATCCCTGAGTCCTGGGATTCAGCCCAAGTTGGGCTCCTTGCTCAGCGGGGAGCCTGCTTCTCCCTCTCCCACTACTTGCTACTCTGCCTGCTTGTGCTCTCTCTCTCTGTGTCAAATAAATAAGTAAATAATTTTAAAAAGTAAAAAAAAGCACAGTTTATCTCTGCTGAGGTATTTTAACATAATTTGTATATTATTGTTTACGTTGTTAAAATTACTTTTTTCCTTTGTTGCTATTTTGTTGTGTTGTATTTCCAATTCATCAAAAGAGAAAAATCATCCACTCAAAAGAAGTAAGTTGACACATAAGAAGTAGTGATGAAAAAAGTAACAAGTAGAGAATTTCAATTCCCAAAATTATGTAGTAAGAGTGCCTGGGTGGCTCAGTTTGGTTCAGGTCTTGATCCCAGGGTCCTGGGATCTAGCCCCACATCAGGCTCCCTGCTCCGCGGGAAGCCTGCTTCTCCCTCTCCCACTCCCCCTGCTTGTGTTCCCTCTCTCGCTGTCTCTCTCTCTCTGTTAAGTAAATAAATAAAATCTTAAAAAAAATAGAATATCTATTTTTTAAAATTATGTAGTAAAGGTAGCTAGCTATTAAACAAGGCTGCAGTTTAGATATAGACTGCAGGTTTTGTGCCTGTACATGATAAGTTCATCCAAGCAGCGATAAATAAATGAATAAATAAAAATATAAATAGAGGGACGCCTGGGTGGCTCAGTCGTTAAGCATCTGCCTTCGGCTCAGGTCATGATCCCAGGGTCCTGGGATCTAGCCCTGCATCGGGCTCCCTGCTCTGCCAGCAGCCTGCTTCTCCCTCTCCCACTCCCCCGTTTGTGTTCCCTCTCTCGCGGTCTCTCTCTCTGTCAAATAAATAAATAAAATCTTTAAAAATAAATAAATAAAATAAAATGTAAATTGAAAGACAACTATGAATATCTATGGGGCACCGGGGTGGTTCAGTCAGTTAAGAAGTTAAGCGTCTTGCTTTCCACTCAGGGCATGATCTCAGGGTCCTAGGATCAAGCCCCCATGTCAGGCTCCCTGCTCAGTGGAAAGCCTGCTTCTCCTTCTCCCTCTGCCTCTCCCCCTGACTCGGGCTGCTTTCTCTCTCTCTTAAGTAAATAAATAAAACCTAAAAAAAAAGAAAAGAAAAGAAAGTACAACTATGGATATCTAAAAGTTGGATTTTATTGGACCAACAATCTATTTGTCCATTGCCCACTACACCTTGGCTGTTAAGAACTTTTGCCAAACAGTGACTCGAAAAGCCATCAAAGCTTACAAGTCATTTTTGAACCAAATATAATAACCTCATTGACTTGTAAAATGTATTTTTCCAGAATGTATGTAAAATAATGTTTTCCAGTATGAAATGAATGAATTTGTGGATAAAAAAAGATCAACTTACAACCCTGGTTAAAAAATGGCAGAAGTCATTTTGTTTCGGTGATTAGCTACAAAGTTAATCACAAATGTTTTGCTTGGAGAAAGTATAACAAGCTATTGGCAAAAATCCCTGATCAAATACCACTTAGAATTATGCATGGTATACAACATGAAAAGGCAATATTAGCCCTGTACTTGCTAACAGTGGTTACCACTGATGCACATAATATGAATCATTTCGCAGCATATATGCAGTACATAAGGAAAAATGCCCGGAAACTTCTTGTCTGGTTTATCATTCAAAACTGAAGTTACACTAATTCTAAAAGATATATGCACCTCTATGTTTACTGCAGCAATATTTACAATAGCCAAGATATGGAAGCAACTCAAGTGTCCATCAGTAGATGAATGGATAAAGATGTGGTATACAATGGAATATTACTCACCATAAAAAAGAATGAAATCTTGCCATTTGCAACAACATGGGTGGATCTAGGTAAATGAAATGTAGCTAGGATCTAGCTAAATGAAGTAAGTCAGTCAAAGACAAATACCATATGATTTCACTCACGTGTGGAATTTAAGAAACAAAACAAATGAACAAAGGAAAAAAGAGACAAACAAACAAAAAAAACAGACTCAAAATATACAGAACAAACTGATGGTTGCCAGAAGGGAGGTTGGGGTGGGGGGATGTGGGAATGAGTGAAATAGGTGAAGGGGATGAAGAGTACACTTACTGTGATGATCACTGAGTAATGTATAGAATTGTTGAATCATTATATTGTACACCTGAAATAATACTGTATGTTAATTACAATGGAATTTAAAAATAAATAAAAATTTGTTTAAAAATAAAATGCAAATCACATATATATTTTATACATTGCTATAGTATGATATATGTCATAATAAAGATAAAAAAAAAGAAAACTTTTGGAAGGATCCACAGAAAGCCATTACCTATACTTAGTTCTGGGGCAACAAATTGGAGTCTAAATGGGACAAACACTCTCCACTAAAATTTTTTGTAATATTCAAAATGTAAAAAGCTTATATATAGGTTGGGAGAATGCTAAGAGAAATAAAAATATTGAAACAGTAAAATAAAATTGAAGTTACAGAAGAGGAAATTTTCATTCAGAAAAAAAGTTCATTTAAAAAAGAATTATTTGGGGGCACCTGGGTGGCTCAGTCATTAAGCATCTGCCTTCTGCTCAGGTCATGGTCCCAGGGTCCTGGGATTGAGCCCCGCATTGGGCTCCCTGCTCGGCGGGAGGCCTGCTTCTCCCTCTCCCACTCCCCCTGCTTGTGTTCCCTCTCTCGCTGTGTCTCTCTTTGTCAAATAAATAAATAAAATCTTTAAAAAAAAAGAATTATTTTGTGAGTATGAGAAAGTCTGAAAAAGATATCTTGGGATCAGCACTGAAGGAGTAGAAAGGCCATTGTTATGATAAACAAAATGTCAGTCCACTTTCTGTTTTAATTAGAGAACAATTGGTAGCCAAACAGCATTCCTCCTGATTCTGATTAAGCATAGAAGAAATTAGTACAAACTGTAAATATAGTAAAATAGCAGCCAGGAAGCATAATCTTTGAGAAGAAATAGGTAAATATTAGAAGACTGCTTTTTCTGCAGTGAAGTAAGGAGATAAGTAATGAGGAAGATGCTCTCACAAATTTTCTAATAAGGACTGGAGTAAAAGATCCCCTTTGGGGGATGCCTCTGCCTTCTGCTCTGGGTCATGATCCCAGCATCTGGGTCATGATCCCAGCATCCTGCATCTGGGTCATGATCCCAGCAACCCGCATCGGGCTCCTCGCTCAGCGGGGAGGCAGCTTCTCCCTCTGCCTTTGCTTGTGCTCTCTCTCTCTTTCTCTGACAAATAAATAAATAAAATCTTTTTTTAAAAAAAGGTCCCTTTTCTACTATAAGATAATACTAACAAAAACCTTTTTTTCTAAGTAGGTTTATCTGAGCACTGTTTTCATTTATTAACTTGAATTTATTACTTCCAGTTCTTTTTTTTTTTTTAAAGATTTTATTTATTTATTTGAGAGAGAGAATGAGAGATAGAGAGCACGAGAGGGAAGAGGGTCAGAGGGAGAAGCAGACTCCCCGCTGAGCAGGGAGCCCGATGCGGGACTCGATCCCGGGACTCCAGGATCATGACCTGAGCCGAAGGCAGTCGCTTAACCAACTGAGCCACCCAGGCGCCCCTATTACTTCCAGTTCTAAATGACATGAATTTTTTTTTGTTTCCAAATGGTTATTTTATCAGTTGTTTGAATATTAAATTTATCCTCCTTTGCAATCCAAAATAGTTACCTGAA